AGAGAGAGAAGACATTTTAAATGTAGGCAACCTTGTAAAATCTGTTTCAGCAGGTGTGTGTGTGTGTGTGTGTGTGTGTTATTATCTGGCTTACTGTAGAATCTCAATCTGATTCTCCAGGATGTCTCGTTCATCAGAGAAGTGTTTCATGAGCTCCTCGTCTCTGCAGGAAAACAGAGACAGACATAAACACAGTTAGTGAATCTAAGGAAAAGCTTTACACCAGATAGCCTTCTTCCTTCTTTTAAGGTGAATGTGTAAACCACTACATTGTGGAGCCAAATGTTACTAAATCTGAACACAAGCATATATTTATCTATCAATTAAAAAAAAAAAAAATCTAAAGTGTTACATATTTTTGTATGTTCATCACTGTTTAGGGCCTCAGTTTCTACACAAAGCTTAAACAACACAAACTCCTTAAATGTACGGATTACTTTTATTAGAGAGAGAACACCGACTCATAGTGTGTTAAAACATTTATATTTCTTCTTATTCAATCATCTTCCGAAAGAGAGAGACCCCTGCACAGCCCAAACGCCAGTTGCAGGATCTCTAACATTAGAATCATAAACTGTGCCTCATATAGGTGTTATTTTGGTACTTTACATGTCACACAGTTTCAAACATTGCTTATAAAGTTCCTCTTTTCTGTGTCTTATCTATTAATATGCCTGTGCACTAAAACTTCCTGTTTTTCAGTCTGGCTGAGCACTTAGTTTATGAGTCAAAAGTGGCCTTGCTTTACAAACCTTCATGATTAAAGTACATAAAACAATATAATGAGAAAATAAGGATACTAAGGATATTAATTACATGACACTTTCAAATGATAAATTCTACAAAGTCTTAATTTTGACTAATTCTTATATTGTTAAACCAGAAGGGGAAGCAACCAAAGTAAATTAAAGATGCAACACTTTAAAATAAATTTAGGATCTTCAGTCAAACAGCAGCTGCTGCAAAATATAACCAACATGGGTTATATGCAGTATCTCTAGTGGCCACTGGAGGCTGCTTCAGAAGTGAGGTGATTCCAATAGTAAACAAAAATTGCATACAGCCTGATACAGAAAACTGGCTTTAGCACTATGGTTTTCTTTTATTTACAATCTGCTGTCTGAAGGTGGGTAATGTAAAATATAAACATCTGGAAGAGGGATCCCTCCTCTGTTCTGCTTTTTCTTTTTCCCCTGCTAAATGGTTTATTGGGAAGTTTTTTCTTATTGTGATATGTAAAAACATAGTAGGTAAAAACATCAATCTTGAATCTATTATATATTTTCAATAAAATCATCATAGTTTCCCCATTAAATAATGGCTGATATTTTTATACATTCTTCTCCTTTTTTGCACGTCTGTCACAGTTGTGCAAAGTTACTGAAAGACACGCGAGACTCCTCAGAGATGGAGGAACAAAAGTGTCAACCTAATGAGTCAGCAGCAGGCGGGGTTTTCTCCTCCCTTTGTCTCTGTTGCGTCTGTTACTAGGTAACGCTCCCAAAGATGTTATTGTACGTGTGAAGGCACTCCAGGATATCCTGTTTCAGCTGTGACAACACAATAAAATTCTCAGGAGCCAACATGCAGACAGACAACCAAGAGAGGTTGTGCCTCTGTCGTCTGTCTCTGTTACTCGGCTCAGGGGTGGGGTCGTGTGATAAGGTATTCTGGATTCTTCTAGAGTCAGTACATTTAGCTGGTATGAAGTGTATTCAGTGGTTTTACAAGTGTAAATATTTATTTTTCTCAAGTTCTCATTAATCTTTAAACAAGGAAAGAAAAAGGTGGAAATACAAACCTGTTCTGCAACTTCTTTTCATCAATAATGGAGGTTTCGACTTTCATGGTGTGCAGTGAAACTGTATGTGTTTAGAGAGAGCTAAATGATGTGAAGTACAAATCTTTTTTTCTTTTTTTTGTTTCTTTTTTAATCATCGATGTAAAAAAGTAAAAAGAATAAATAACATGTGGCTAATTAGATGTGGTGCTCAACTTTAACTCCACGGACCACACGTCAAAATCTGTACCGAGGGTTTAAATTATTTAACGAAAGCAGCCAAACCGATTTACCGCTCGGAGTTGATGCTTTGATCGGTTAGCTCGGTCTTCAGCGAGTCCATCTCACTCTGCAGGCAGGCGACTTTGGTCTGAGACCTCAGCAGCTCCTGCTTTAACCGCTGGTTCTCCTGCAGACGCACAGACAAGCAGCAAAACAGAAGATTACAGCTGTGTGTTGTAAGCAGGAAGCATAATGACTGTATAAATGCGTTCAAATACATTCACTCTCACCAGTGTTAGCTCATTGATCTTCTTCTTCAAGGCCGGGCTCTCGTCTTTCACTGTGATGTTCTTGTACTTCTCCTCTATCTGGTAAAGTTGAAATGTATAGGATAAAGATTATTCGACCTACTCACTCTTGTGGGCTACTTTTACTTGTACATGCATCCAGAAATGTCGATTCTAATTGGTTCAAAAAAATAAAAATAAACAGCTCTTACAAATCAGTTTCAGAGGAGTGGGGAAAAAAAGTTTCATAAAACGGCTAAATTTGTACTATTTAAACATTTTAACCTGATGACTTTCGGGATGCTTTTTTCCGTGCATGTTCTCAGACCTGATGCAAATGCTTGGACACATACACAGATGACCAACCCAACACAATAACTTGCTTCTCTGCATGCTTGATCTGCTCTTCAAGATTGTATGAAATCACTTCCCTTGTAAACAGCTGACTTGAAATCTTCAGTAAGAAGGAGCTCAGTCAGATTGAGAAGCAATAGTAGATTTTTCTTATCCAAATATTTACTGTGAAGTTTCACTTAAAGAGGTCCAGCTGAGATTTAATGGACTCTGTGAAGCTGCTTCCTGCTTTCAAAGATGTTACGTTCTGAAATGGACCCAGAAAATTATTCTTCATCCTCAATAAACACGAGATATATAAAATCAAAGGTTTATTTACTCAATTAATTAATCATTAAGAAAAATGTGGTATAAATTGAATGGTATACCAATCAATTTTAAACCCGATTCCACTAAAGTTAACATTTTACATTGTACTAATATATTTACTAATAATGTACTAATATAATTAAAATGAGTTAAAGTCAGCATTTTGGATCTAAATTTGTTTCGAGCGTAAAATCCTTATCATGTCAGTATCATATAAATATGTTTAAAACCACCACTACAGCAATTGTGTTGTAAAAAACCAGAACTCAGTCAGACAAGTTAAAAATGTACCATCTGCATCCTCTGGATCTTACACTGCAGCTCACACACTTCAGTTTCATAACTTCTTCGTAATTCACTCAGCGAAGCCTCTGCTCGCTTCTTCTCCTGCAAAAGCACAAATACAAACCCCCCCCAAACAGAAAATATATCAATCAGTTGCATCAGAAAGGCAGTTTACTGTATGATTTGTGTGTTTGTGTATGTGTGTGATTGGCTTTTGCTTCTTACTCTGCATAAAGCCATTTTTGCAGCCATTTTCCTCAGACCCTTGATGAAGGGTCTGAGGAATCAAAAACTTGTTTTTAATGTACAATTTCCAAAATAAATTCCTCCGTTACAGGTGCCAGGATATGACAGTGTGTATATCATGGTGTGAGAGGATACAGGTGACCGCCCTCTAATTTTGTGTGCTTTTCTTAGACAAAACAAACAGTAGAGCCCGAGTTAGCTGAGTCAATGGAGAACACTTACATAACTTTAGGCACAGTGATAAAACAGATAAAATCAACATGTTTAAATAAATTCAATGGTTTGTTTCCTGATATAACAAGTGATGCTTTATGTTTCTGCCAGTCTTTGTCAGCTTTTCTTCCTTTTATTGCATTTTATTTCATGTTATGGAAAGCTAAATGCTGTTATCAAAGCTTATCATTTTCCACAAAACACTGATTATGTGTTCTGCTGGATTTTGGGAAATATCTGCAGCTTTCATGAGGCTCCAAATCTGGGGGCTTTTAATTAATAGACAATATATTAAGACATAAACAGACCTAAATTTAGGCATTAAAAAGCTGCTGTAATAACAAATTTGCCTACTCTAGCTGTGGATGTGGATACGTTTGACAAACAGACAGAATTCATAGAGATTTAACTTCATCAGTCAATAAAAAGCAGGTTAAACAATTCAAAGTTCAGGTCAGCCACATGTTGATGTAGCTGACCTGGCTCTTTATAGATTATCATCTTCATCCACACACCACCATCCTTATCACCACAAACACATACAGCCTTATCATTTTAGAATAGAGGATAAAACATGCCCCAGCACCTCGAGTTATCTGCTGTTTTATATCCACAGAGTTGTGAGAGCAGCAGGCGTGTCTGAATTGGGATCAGTAAGCTGCTACACGGCTGCGTATGTTTGTTTGACATGAGGGAAGAGCTGAACAAACGCGCCCTGCTTATCACTTTGCCTACACAAACTCCAGGGAAAGAAACGCATCATAGCAACTAGCCGAAAAAAAGCAAACAGTGTAAAAACACAAAGTCACGGGTCTGCAGTGGAGGGTCTCATATGTGTGTCGTGTGGGCTAGGTATTGGTCCCACCTGCTCACGTGTTTTTCTCTCGGTAGCTTGAATGCGTTGGTCCATTTCTTCCTCCATTTCACTGAGCTGCATTGATGCTTGGTCCTGCGCTCTGTAACACAGTAATAAGATCACCTCACTAGACTCCAGATACTTCTATCCATGTGATCCAGGCAGCTGACGCTAACTTAACTTTCTGATTTGTGACAGTATTTATTGTTCGCCTGACATTTGGATTGACACAAAACATTTGTAATTTCTTAGAAAGCAAGCTTGACTATCAGTGTCAAAAAGTCATGCTACTTTTGTCCAATCATACATAAGAACGTTTTTGAGGCCAGATACTGATGTTAGACGAGAGGGCCTGACTCACACTCTTCTTTCCTGTTATCCCTACTCCCCCAAACTTCACTGCTGGCACACAACTCGGGTTCTCCTGGCACTGGCCAGACTCAAACTTGTCCATCAGACTGCCAGACAGGGAAACGTGAGCTTGACTTTTACTTCCACTGCTCCTATAAGCATTGGCATGCTTTGCACCGATCCATCCAATACCTGACATTGTGCTTGCATTTAGCTCTTGACCTTGGAAACCAATGACACGAAGCTCCCTGAGAACAGTGTTTGTGCTGATGTTAAATGCCAAAGGAGGTTTATAACGCGGTAATTACTGAGTCAGCTGCACATTAGAGACTTATGTCCCTCACAACTCAGTAATCCCGCTCATAATATTAAATGTTTTGCTAATTTAGGAACAAGTTGCTGTAGTTCTTTTATTCTTCCACTTTGCGATAACAGCTACCGTGACAACATGGATGAGCAGTTGGAATACTCTCCACTTGTCTCAGAAGTATTGACTTTTTCCACATTAAGCACATTATTCTCTACCTATGTTTATTTTCTATGATTTGCTATTGTCAAAGTAATATTGCTGCACCTACTACCCTGGGTTTGTTTGTGTAAGCTTTATGTTGCCATCAAAATCAAACATTCAGCACATTAAAGCCTCTGTTATTAACCTCTGTCTTCTGTTATTAACCTCTGTCTCTCTTCCACAGCATGTCTTTTATCCTGTCTTCCTTCTCTCACCCCAACCGGTCGCAGCAGATGGCCGCCCCTCCCTGAGCCTGGTTCTGCCGGAGGTTTCTTCCTGTTAAAAGGGAGTTTTTCCTTCCCACTGTTACCAAAGTGCTTGCTCATAGGGGGTCATATGATTGTTGGGTTTTTTTTCTCTGTATCTATGAAGCGCCTTGAGGCGACTTATGTTGTGATTTGGCGCTATATAAATAAAATTGAATTGAATTGAATTAAAGCAAAGACTCTGTCACAGGTTGCTTTGTATTTTTTAGGCTGCAGAATTAACTCCTTTGTGCATACTTACATCGACTGTTCTCAGCCTTCGTGTACGTCAGGTGTAGGGAAAGGCCCAACCAGAGTTTCCTGATTTTTAAAGTACTGATGATGTCATGTCTGACATCAACAGGTCAAACTAAGAGGTTCAGTCTACATTGATGCACTGGTAGTTATATGTTTTACTTATGATCTGGTTGCTCAAGTCTCTCTCCTGTGGTTCATACTCGTCCTGTCTACATCTTTGCCACATGCTCATTAGGGTGGCTGTAGTTCAGTATGTAGAGCAGGTCATCTGCTAATCGTTCACAGGTAATGACTGATCATATATGTGTGTGTGCATGATGCTCACCGTTTGATGGCAAGTGCCAAGTTCTCCATCTCTGAGTTCTGCTGTTTGATCTCTTTGGTGAAGTTGAGGATGACTTTCTCAAACTGAGGAATCAGTCTGGGCTCAGTCAGACTGATGTTCTGATACAGTGTTGCTGCTTGCTCACGCCTGGAGAAAAATCAGGAGATAAATTAGCTCTCTGCAAACAAATTTTTGCTAGCAGAAATTGAGGGTTACATTAAAGAATTTTGGTTTGTACGGTTTGATTCATTAATATTTTTGTAGTTTTGTTTATTAAAAAAAATAAAATCAAGATGCGATTGAAGTGAAGCCTTCCTGCTTTAATTCAATGGTTTTGCAAAAGGATGGCAGTAACTGTTTAGACAATATAAACATTTTTATACACAGTCTCCCATTTTCAGAGCTTCAAAAGCAATTGACAATTGACTGACAATTTTCATGGCCAAGTAAGGTCTGTGCCCTATTTCATGACCAATAAAGCAGATGAAAGCTCTAAAGATCTTAATTCCAAGTCTTGAAATACAATTTGTTAGTTTTTCACAGGGATGCTCAGTATGAGTAAATGTTAGTGCAAGTGAGGGAAGGCCACCATCAGGCTGAAAAACCAAATTAAACCCAAAAATCTTTAAAGTGGCCAAATCAAATCAACAATTTATTTATTTTTTAAAGAATGAATGCAATGACCAGCTCAGCAACACCAAAAGGCCTGAAAGACCACTGTGCATGATGACAGAATTATTTTGATGATTAAGAAAAAAACTTTACAACATCTAACCAAGTTAAGAATAAACCTTTGAAGAGGAAGACATATCAGTGTCAAAGTCTACAATCAAGAGACATCTTCATGGGTTTACAACAAAATGCAAACCACTGGTTAGATTCAAGATGATGAAAGCCAAATTAGCCTTAGCCAGAAGACACAATAAAATACAGTGATGGAAACATGTTTTGGACAGATGAAACTAAGGTTAATTTGTATCGAAATGATGGGAAGAGAAAGGTTTGTATGGCTGTGACTGGAACTGGGTCACAAGTGTTTATTGATGATGTGACTCCTGATAGAAGTAGCAGGATGAGTTGTGAAGTATACAGGGCTGTACTCTCTGCTAATACTGATCAGGCACAGTGTAAATTCACAGTGCAAATGGATAATGACCCAAAGCAGACTGCAAAAGCAACCCGAGAGTTTCTCAAGCTAAAGAAATGACATAATCTTCAATGGCCAAGTCAGTCACCTGATCACAACCTAGTAGAGCCGCTTTCAGTCATGAAATAAGACAATAAAGGCAGAGAGACCCAGAAACAAGCAGCAGCTGAAGGTGTCTGCAGTAAAAACCCGGCGGAGCATCTCAAGGGACGAAACACAGCATTTGGTGATGTCCATGAGCTTTAGACCTCAGTCACTGACTTCAATGGATTTTCGTCTGGGCTTGGTTGTAGTATAAAAAATGTCTATAATTCCTAAACAGTTCGTGGAAGTTTTTTTTAATTCCCTTAACCTTGTAAGACCCAACCAATCAAAAAATAGCCAGAAAATTCTGATTTTTTAGAACTTATGACAAACTTATAACAAAATCCACAAACATTTTTTTGCTATATCATGTTGTGTATGATATATTTTTATGATATATGAATTATATATTGTTTGTATGGCATTTCATACATTGGGTGTGTTTGGCAACTTTATGTTAACAACAGTGTAAATTTTAGACAAAAAAAGGAGTTTTGTCCATAACATTTTGAAATTATGGCAAGTGCTGATGATGTTGATGAGAACGAGGTCTCAGAAACTCATGCGTCAAATATGATACAAAGGTCATTATAGGGTTATATTTAAAGCTGAAAATGCACTTCACTCACGTCTTGAATGTCTATTTAAAATCCGCTGTAGGGTACACACAGATAAAATAACAAACAATTCTGTCTTTGTTCGGACTCAGCTGAATATGCTCTAAAAACAGACATTATCCAACAAATTCACAAGAGGTTTAATTATTTATTGAATATTTTTTGAGTATTTGTTTTATATTCTTAATAACAATGGCGGTGTGGACACACAAAAAATGTGCCTTTTATTATTAATTAGATAAATGGCAGACAACAGATTATTTCTTGTAGGTAACACTGGATTACAATAACAGGGTTAAAAGTCTTTAACTGTGGGAAAATGTTTCAAATGATAAAAATCCTGATGTTTTCCTCGCAATTGTGCATTTGGAGTTCTGATTTTCATTTGATCTGCTAACAAGACTGATGTTACGATATGAAAAATGGAGTGTAACAAATGAGTCAGGGTGTAGTACAGCTTTAATTACACTAATATTAAACAAAATAAACACTAAATAAACAATATTAAGTCAACACTCCTTTGACAGGTAGACAAACTGTTCTACTTTATTCTGAGTGGCTGAAGAAAGTATTTCATCAGCTTGGTAGAAAGTTTGCTATAAAGTTTGTTCTATCTACCGCTCCACCCTAACAGCAATTAACATAATTGAGATATTTAGCAAATCTACATTTTTGTTGAGCCTTTAAAGATTATTTAACAAGTAGAAAACAAAATGATTTGTGTGTCAGTTTAAGTAATATCTGATGTTGGAATAACTCTTCTAATTTTAAAGACTGATTTTTAATGAATGCTTCTTTTCATGTATGTCACTTTGCTTCCCAGTGACACAACCTGTCGTTTATTTACCCTGAAAACAAAATAGCTTTCCTGGTGTGTGTTAAACCCGAACTCAGAACTCAGAAACGCAAAAGCCGAAAGAATGAAATCAAATGAAGAGACCCAAATTAAACCCTGTAAAATTGTGTATTTATATATGAAATTTGTGTTCAAACGCAATTTTTGTAAACAGTTGATCATGTCAACAAATGCAGAGTAGAGACATTTGACCCCCCTAGAAGAAAATTCTTGAAAACCGAGCAGTGAAAGCCTTTTATAGGTCAAACCATCTTTCCAGGCTCGGTCTCCATCAGCTGAGAGACTGAACAAAGTTCATAACTCATTAGATCAGTCTCAAGCATAAAGAAGGAAGAAATTGATTTTTTGCTCTTGACTTGTCTTCTTGTTCTCACACAAAATATCTTTTCAACTCCTGAAAACAGACATCTGTCTGAAGTGAAGCGTGTACTGGGTTTTCCAAACTATCCTCCCTCAGCTGACTGATGTAACAGTGACTATAAATGCTTGAAGATGAAAGAGTGCATTTATCCGACGGCACCACCGTGACAATCAATGTCCTGATGCCGCAACACAACAGCATGAGCAAAAGTCCCATGTAAGGCCAGTGGCCACATGCACGTGGATAGGTCTACAGTGTGTGTAAAGCGAGTAAGCATTATCGAGCCCAGTCATTGGATGTGATCATTTTCAGAGAACTGTTTTTATCACTTAATACTGATTTATGAATAATTCAAGCATAAAAAATGGACCTAACTCACAGGATGAGCCACATACACATAACAAACCACTTAGGAAATAATCAGTTTTAAACTGTATTTTAGGCACTTTGTTACTAGCAGCTTGTTACAAAAACACATCATTTATTCTCATTTCCTTAGCTGAATCTACAAAAATGCAAAACATAAAGAGAAACGGAGAGAAAAAGCTGAACTGGACTGAATCAGTTGCACCATGTCTTATGAATCCAAATTTTAAATGTTTGGTTTCAATCATAGTCAGTGTGCACGATGGAGATCAGGAGAGAAGTACAACAGTCAGAGTCTACAGTCATCTGTAAAACACAGAGAAGGCTCCGTCATGGTTTGGGGGATCTTGCTGAATTTGGAAAGCATGGCGAAGTGGCTTCATGTTTCAGCATGACAATGCTCCCAAACACACTTCCAGAGCAGTAAAAGCATATTCAGATAGAAAAAACACAGTGGAACACAGTCAGTCATGGACCAGCCTCCTCAGAGCCCGAATCTCAATATTATTCAAGCAGTGTGGGATCATCTAGACAGATAATCGAACAAAAGGCAGCCAACATCCAAAGAAGAGCTTCATATGTCCTTCAAGAAGCCTGGAACTATTGCTGAACATTAGAGAATGAGACGGTGTTAAAGAATAAAGGAAATATCAACTCATAAGAATGCTACCAACTCTGTTTTTCCC